CAACGCCAACACCAGCCAGCAGAGCAATTTGTGCCAGGAGTATCTCGTTGGGGTTGTGGGCGTTTGTGCTAAATATATATTGGCAACAACAAGAACCGCCACGGACGATGACGACGAGGACAATTAAAAGCACACCTTTTGCAGTCGCCAACCTGCTCCTCAATAATTGACGAGGCCTCCGACCCGCTCCCCGCACCTGCCCCTTTAAACCCTGACTTCGTGAGTCCGGACAAAGGGGAAACATCGCGCGAAATTGTTGCAACGTTTTAGTTTTAATTTCTGTGGACAGAGGATAGTAGCACACCGAAAAAAACTCGATATTATTAAGAGATTACACTTTTGCGCTTTTGTTTATAATTTTAATTGGGCTGAAATAACGCAGTCTTTAAAATAATATTTTATTGTTCGTTTTGTACAATTTTAATAAATACCTGAAATACATATAAAATATTAAAGTGTTTTTATTATTAATATTTAAAACCCATATTTTATTGACAAATTTCTATAAGGAAGGACAACCATTTCTAACTTTATTAGCCTGGAATAACAAGTCTATATAAATAGTACGTATTTATATGTTGTCAAAAACAAATTAAATAAATATAAATTAAGCAAAATGGTTATAAGAGTGGTTCAACAAGGCTTTGACATTATAACAAAGTCTTCAAAATTAATATAAATAGTGATCGCACTAAACTCTGATGAGTAAAGTTATAAGCTGGTAAAAGGCTGTTTAATGTTTTTAAGATTCTCGAAACTGATTTTTTCTCTGTAAGAAGTGGCAAAAAGGAATTTAACCTTAGCGCCAAGTGTTTTATTATGTAGTTTCAGTTGCTGGAATGTGTTAAGGATGCCGCACGTGTTACCGCCTCCCCACCAATTCTCCTTTTTGTATTACTTCGTGCGCGAAATTAAGCCAAAGTTGAAGTTTTTGGGAGGGGGAGTGAGTGGTGGGTGGTGGGTTGTTAGACGGTGGGTGGTGGGTGGTGAAACGGAAGCCAACCGCCAAGGCAGCGGCAGAAAGAAAAGTTGCTTCCTTTCCCGCTCCGCTGGCAATCAAAGCGCTGAGTCAGTTAGTCAGACATATTGGATCGTGTGATGGAGGAGGGGTTAGATAAGCCAGTTTGGAATGGGCCGCTACTGCCAATGGCATGATAGTCGTTCTGGCCCGGGTTTTGGCCATAGCTTTGCCTGTATTCAAGACAATGTAAGCGGACGGACCTCGGTTAAAGACACCTTCGAACCGAACGAACGAACGAACTTGGGTGCGTGACTAACGGTATTTAAAGCCGCCGGAAGCAGTTCCAATTTAAGTTGCAGCCAGGGGCTCGGCCCGCAAACCGGGCCAAAATATCGGGTTGGTCTGGGCCAGGGCGCAAAAGCGGCAATAAGGTTGCATTCATTAGGCTGACTCAGCCATTGGGAGCAAGTTTAAAGACTCCTAATACTGTTGATATTCCAGTGGTAATTATGAGAAGGTGCAGCTAAAGTTGACTCCCCTCAACGCAAATATCTAATAGTGAGCTAGAAATTTTCTTTTACCATATTTGGTTGGTTTTAATTAAATTTACGCCAGACGGCTGTAAGCTTTTGGTATCTCATCTGAATTCAGCATTTTGGTTGAAAAGCTGAATTTAGTCTGAGAAAAAGAGATTCGTTTTGCGACAGAGATACAAACAGAGTTCTTAAATGAATCCTAAATGCAACTGTTAGAGCAATTGACAAATTCAACGAGGTGTTTCCATATCCTGTTTAAATCGTTGGCTGCCTTAGGAGTATACAATTTAGAAAATAAATAAAATAAAAAAACTACCTTTAAAGAAAAATAACTATAACCTAAAGCTTTCATATATACAAGGGTAAATGAAAACAGCTTCCGTTCTTGTTTAAATCATACTAGCTATGAACTCTAAAAATAATAATAATAACATTTTTAAATGCAAAAGAAAATATATAAATTATGTAAATATCTATAAGACAGTTTTGAATATTAAACCGATCAAATTTGTTAGCCAGTGCCAGCCAATCAAGGCAGCTTCCAGGCACAAAGTCTTTGCCCGAAATTCCTTTCTTGTTATACTTTCTTCTGTTTGGCTTTTTTGGCAGAAACTAATTTAAGTGCGAGGCCAACGGCGGGGTGGCAGCCACATCATTAAGTCGAAGGCGAAGGCGCAGTCGAAGCTATTTTATTTGTTTAAAATTTCATTGAAGATGCGCTCGGCAGCGTCGCGTCGCCTTGTGGCGAAATTAAAACTGCTGGTTAAGGCGCAGATGAAGATGAAGATGGAGATGGAGATGCAAAGATGCAACCGCTTGTGCGAAAAACTTTATCCTGCTGGCTTTTTGTGGGCACAATCATTATACGCCCAACTTTGATTGAGGCCGGCGCTTAATTCGGGTTTGGGTTGGCAGTCTGAGTCTGGCCGACTCACTAGGGGCATATTATGCCAATCCCGACTACGTTCCGCAGTCTGTATCCGTATCTAGCCCCCTCGATAGACAACTATTTACACAGGCTGTCGCGCAGCAAAGTTTCCCGTATGCGGGAGATCCGAGTCCTGGCAAAAAAGGGGAATGCACTTGGAAGAAAAGGTTTCTAATTTCACATAAATTAACCAGTAAGTCAGGAAAAATTATTTAAAAAATACAAGAAATAAATATACTTATTATTTCTCATTAAAACCTACAAATTTGGCCAGGCAAAACTTATTTTTGTAACTTTATAATTGACCATAAAAGTGTTAATAGATTATTAATGCATCAGTACAAGAACATCTTCCTTAATGAAATGATTTCAATTGTAAGTTTTTCCTTATATTCGATTCAAGTAAGCTTTTAAACATTTCTAATCAATGTCGAAAGTGAAAGGTCGTATTTTTCAATAGATCCATCAGACTTCCTTATTCAATACATATATATGCATCTGTTAGACTTTTACTAGTATTTTTTAAATAATAAGCACCCATAATATATTATATTTTAACATAACACCTACTTATTATAAATAGAAAAGACTTAGTCCCAAATTGAAACATTTTTCCAAGTGTTTGATTTGGTCTCCGAGGCAGCACACATAAAATTCGACATTCGGCAACTTTTAACGCACCCGCATGCATTTCAACTTGCGTCAAATTGTTGCAAATAAAACGCGGCCCCAATGGCTTCCACTTCCACTTCCCATTTCCCGTCTCCCGTAGTCCCCATTCACTCAAATCCCACTGACACCCTGCGTTTGAATCAGCTCGTAATTTCTTAAATAGTTGTTCATCATTGGTGGGAACGGAAATCCAAAAGTGGAAGTGGTGCCGGCGGGTGAGTGGGTGATGGGTGGTGGGTGAGCAGGTGGTGGGTGAGCAGGTGGTACGTGTGCGCTAAGTGGTTGTTAGCATGCATTCTGCATGGTGGGTGTGGCCCAGGTAAAAATACTTGTGTTAATTTATATGGCCCCCGCCCGACTGACGTTTGCATTTGCATCAGCCCCCAAAAAACCGACGTCTATGTGGATCTATGGGAGCGTTGCAGCAGATTGCGTTTGCTTGTTAAGCGCAGATTTGTCAATTAGGCTGACGTTAACTGGTACATAAAACGACGCGAAAACGGAACTTTTGATGGGGCCACCAAACGAGTGGAGCCATTCTCCTCCCAAACAGAGTTACCCATCAACTAAATTTACCACCATATATTGAAAGTGGATTAGGAAAATTGGCTGTGAAAATGGAAAAATATGAAGCTAACAAATGGTGAATTTAATCACAGTTTATAGACACTTTTTTCTATGATATTTATATATTTATAAAAAGTTAAAAAGAACGCCGAGCGAGATACTATTAATTTAAATAGTACTTCGCTCGGCGTTCTTTTTAACTTTTTATAAATATATAAATATCATATCATATCATAATATACAAATATCATACTTTATTATTACGGGTAAATAAGGGGTATAGAGTATTGGGGAAATAAAAACTGTTATCTCTTAACTATTTACTCTATCATCTATCTAAACCATGAGCAAAACTTATTTTTATGTATTTTGATTTTAATTTATTGAGAATTCTCAGAATACACCCAACATATTTATATTAACTATACTTCCTTGTCTATCTTAAAAAAATGTTCACTCTTCCGGAAGTGTTTTTATACATGCCCCAATCTAATGCGGATTCTATAGTACCATTGATTGCGACGAGGATGCGCCGAAAATGGGAATGATGTACAACAATATATTTACAGGGTAAGGAGAACCAGGGATTCGGGGCTTCAGGGTGCAGGATGCCAAATCCGAGTTGTTGTTTGGCGGGCATCTAATCAACCAAATTTAGTGTCATTTCAGCGCAGCGTGTGCGTGCGACATGTAAAGAAGCATTTTTGCAAGTATCAATGACAGACAGGACGCTGCGGGTGTCATCAATTTGAGTTTGTTCCGCCCCCTTCTGCCATCCTCATCCCCTTTTGCCACTGATTTGCGCTGATTTTGCAGCCGCTGCCAGGACACATAGATACACTTCGCAAAAAATAGTTTGGTTCCCAGATGAGAATTTATTTTTCTATAACAAGGCCAATTTTAAAGTCGAATTTTCATTATATTGCTTTATTGAAATATTTTTCATTTACATTGATTGCAAATTGAATTGTATCCCTTAGCTTTTAGAAAAAATTGTAGAAAAATACCGTAGTTATGCGGTTATTTTTGGACAATGTTTTCTTTTCGATTTGATGAAATTCCACACTTTTTTAAAGTGCACAAGCGAAGAGCACAGGGAAAAAACCATCAAATCCATCAACGGGTTGAAATTGCAACATTCAACAAAGAGCTCCCTGGCAAAAAAAAATGGGAAAAACGAAGCCAAAGGACAACATGCTGATGCTTCAATGCTGATGGGTGGGGAGTGGTGGGTGGTGGGGGTTGGTGAAAGGGGGCGGGATGCTGATGACGCTGCCACCCGTCGAGGATGCGTGACACGAATCCCGGGCCAAGGCGTGTCCAAAGTAGATGCCGCTTAAAAATTTAAATTGTATTTGCGGGCGCTGGGTGGCGATGATTCGGCAGGTGGTGGCACACTAAATCATAGCAAAAATGTGCAGAGATCCAGTGTTCAATACCCTCTAGGAATGCCATCAGGTGTGAGGCTTGAAGGTACTTTTTGAATTCAAATCAGCAGTGCAATGTATTTGCAATTTTAGTCAAGTGTCCACTTTTATGTAACTATTTTTGCAATTAAAAAGTGTCTATCAAAATGCAGGTGCTAATCTTGGTTTTCTTTTACAAACAGTTTATGCAAAATTACTTCAACAATTTTTAAAATTACATAAAAAGCCTACCTCATCTTTATTATTATTATTATTATTATCTGATAGTTTTAAAAACTGTGCGTCATTTCGTTTTTTATATTTTTCATTTAAATATATTTGGCGCCCAATCTGGGGCATTTTTTAGGAATATTACAATCCATACTGTTTTAATAAGGGCGATATTAAAACTGAGGATAAGTATTCATTCGCATTATCACAATTGACTTAGGATAAACTAAAATTTAAATTGCATTTGCATTCAATATTTTATCAGACCGTGGCTCTTTCCTATCAAGTGCAAACGATACCCAGAGACTAATCCACTCTCCGGTTATCAGTGGCAGCCCAACATCTAGCACACCCCTTAAAAAAAATAGAACACCCACCACCCCTTAACCTTAACGAGCCACAAGCGACACTCTCATACCGCCTTTCGTTCTCATGTAAAAAATTGCACATAAAAATTGCAAAAGCCTTTGCGTTCTCCTTGGTCGCCGGATGGTTGGATGTTCGGTGGGGTGGAGTGGGATTGGGTGTACTATACTGTCTGAAATTCAATCGTAGATTCCGGTTTCGGGGCTGGAAGACGAAAGATGGAAGCCACCCGGGCACGGGCACACCTGCTGATGAGTAAATCTTAAGTGCAATAAAGAAGGAGACGCAACAAAATCCAAAGTACGTGCAGCTGAACCCGGCCGAAGAGCCCGGAGAACCCCGGCTAACCCGGAGGATATTCCCGGAACCCGAACTGGGCGTACACTTACTTAGTGGGATTTCGGTCGTGTTCAAAGTTTGCCATTCTTTTAAGTAGTACATACGTATATGTACAACGTAATATATAAGGGATTTTTTTTTGTTTTGCTCTACTTTAACGTTAAATCGTAAATTTTGCAAAAATGAAAACTTTGAAGCGCCTACGTGACGCACTGAAGTAGATTTTATTCCCCCCACCCCCTGCCCAGGTACGAAAGTAGTTCGCCGGATTCCGGGCGCAAAAGTTACGCAAAACTCAGTGGCAAGTGTTAAGTGCGTTTGGGTTTAGCCGGCAGGAGAGACGTCTCAGTTCTAGCCCTAACCCCACCGTGTTTTCCATAGCCTTTCCCCATTTTCCGCCCACCAAACAGCTAGTTAGGAGAAAAGCCTTTGCCGCAGCTGAAGTTTCTGAGTTGGTAAGAAAATTGCAAAGCTATTGCACGGAAGAAGTTGCCATAACAATGACCTGAAGGAGTTTCGCAACTGTTTAAAAGGTTTTGGGCCCCACAATTCGCAAGTCGAGAGCAAAGGTCAAACTGCTTTCGCGAACTTTTGTTTGAGATATTTCCAAAATTCAAATGGTCTTAATTTCTACTGGATTTTTTTCAATTTTAGTAGGAATTAAACCCTTTTTTAATTGAACTGGACTCTGTTTAAATTAATGTTTCCGTAAATCACAATTTAGTGTGTTTTGCCTCAGAATATTTCAAATATTAAATAGTTATGTACATTTAACCTCATTTGAAGCTTTTTATTTATATTGAGCACAGCTTGCAAATATAAAGTAGTTCTTTGCTAGATTTGCTGGTCTGTATATTTTCAAGATAAGATTAAATGCTTTTGATTGTATAAACATTTTATTTAGAACCAAAGTCACAGTCATATATTTACCTGAGAATTAATAAATGGCCCTCTCTCCCTATAGTTTTATTAATTTGCATAAATAAGACATCATTCACGGCACTATTTCCATTTTCCACATCTCTCTTTGCGATTTGCCATCAAGATTTCGCATTCTACATGTGGACCTTAAATCAGACAAGTCGTAAAATAAAGCTCATTCGGTATTAAATATTTACCTACTCTCCGCTTGTATCTCTCTTTTATGTGGATTGTAAAATTTTCAAATTAAATTCCGGATATTAACGTATCCACATCTGACCCCGAACATAATGCTACCAGTCTAACAAAAGCATTTTTGCATATTTACTTAAATAAAACCATTTTAACGATTTACGGTGCAAAATTTCATACATTTCGTGTCTTGGTCTTTATGAGTGTGTGTATGTCTGTGTGTTTATGAGTGTGTGTGTGTGAGCTTAAGTCAATATGAGTGTATGTGTGTGTGTGTTGGAGAGCATGAAAGGCCCTTGACCAAGTAACCATAAAGCATGAAGCATGCTGCAAATAAGTAAGGCTAGACAGTCTTATAGCCAGGGAAGTGGTGGTAGGTTTACAGGGCCAAAGGACCTCTTAGGGGTACGGGGCATTACTGGTCAGGAGAACCTGAATCTCTGAGCTATACGAGCTCAAAGCCGACTCTTCTTCTTGCTCATCCTCGTCCTCATCCTTGTCCTGTTCCTCGTCCACGTCCTCATCCTCATCGTCGTCCACTTCTCGGCCTGCCATGTTTCGAGTTTCATGTTGCGTTACGTTTGCGTTTTGAGTGGGCGGCGAAGAATCGGTGCAGAGCGACAGAGATAGAGCGCATAGGGGGCGTAAAAGTGGGTGTGGCAGGTCGGGGCTGTCGCTCGTAGCGGGAAACATGAAATTTTAATAATGTTTATAATGCCAAAAGGATTTGTTAGTCGACGCTGCACACTGAGCTCTATATGCACACATAAGGGGGTGGTCATGCCAGTATTATAAAAACCCGAATGGCACTTTGAAAATACAATAAATTGTTTTTCATATAAACAAAATGGCACGGTACCTGGTCATCCCGAAAAGTCTTTTTAACAAAACTAGTTTATGAAAAATGTGCATAATAACATAATAACATAAATTGTCTCTTCAAATAAATTTATTTATATATTTCCATACACTTTAAATATACACATCAATCAGTTTTAAAGGCACTGCTTCTAAAATAAATATATTCATATAAATAATGAAAATCGATTATTAAGACAAGCGTGAGAATGGGAATAATTTAAGGATACATTTATTGTAAAGAACTGTTTTAATAACAATGAATAAATTTTAAGTTTTCAATCATTTTACTTTAATTTGAAAACAAATCATTTTTCTAACTTTTGAGTGCATCAGAAATCTAGTTTATTTGAGCCAAATAATATATATTTGTAATATTTGTTTAATACTACTATCACTTTTAAAATATTGCTCACCGTACATATTAAAAAAAATATAAATTATTTAAAAAATTAATTTATGAAATTTAAATGACCCATGGATCGACCCTCGGAAACACACAAGTGTGCCATGCTGCCGAGTGTGGGTGTGCCGGGTGCCGGGTGTGTTTACTTGAACGTACATTGCCATTAAGCGTGGTCGTCGCTGCCCCTCCCATATCCATATCCACATTCACATCCTCTTTCACGTCCACATCCAAGTCGATGGCCCAAAGAGGCAGCAATGACATATTGCACTGCACAAATCCGCAAACAAACTTTATATGAGTGCCGAAGGATAAGAACAAACAAGCTGCGCTTGCAGCGTCATTGACATATATACGTATCTGGCCGTATATATCTCTATATATCTCGGGCGATGGTCAAAGACCAATGATGATGAGAATGATGACGACGAGTCGAGTCGTCAAAAGTCGAGCTCAATTCAGTCCGGTTCAGTTTTCGATGGCTCAACCTGTTCGGTTGTGATGGGCTAACCAAACAAAGAAGCCACTTGTCAAACTGTCCGCTCCAGAATTCCTCAATGTCCACTTTTTGCAATGCACTCACAAAAATAGTTGGCCTTGAATAGAAAATTTAAAGGTACATTTGGTAGTGTATAACGCATATCAAGAAAATGTGTGTGTTTTATTAATCTCATTAAATTTTTGTTCAAATTTTTTTTAAAAATTAACTTAATATAGATTATTTGGTATGTTAAACATATGTTTTTAACCAATTTTTTGCAATTGGGTCTTGAAAAGTAGATATTTATATAACGTTTTTAAAGAATCCCTGGGTTATCAATACAAGTAAGTTTTTCTGACTGTAATCATATGACGAAATGTCCTTCAGCGAGTAAACAGCCTAAGAAGATTACTGCCTGCCTAGTTTTTGGGTTCAGCTTTCCCAGCACTTCCACTTCCACTTTTGATATTGAAAGCGAGGCAGAGATTTTGGTCAATGAACCGCATGATTTTAATGCTGACCAGGTCGGAAAATCTGACCGTGTTATTAACTCGTGAGCTGGCCGTCGAAACAAAGTATTATTTAAGCCTGGATGGGCACGCAAAGAGATGCAAATATGCCGACTTCCCCACCTTTCTGTTGTCGTGTGCTTATTGAAATTTCGTTTTACGACATTCGATATAAAATTTAATTAGGCAGTTGTCTGGAAAGCACATGGGTGGATATCCAACTCGACATTGTGTAGGCTCCCTTTTGTGTTATCCAAAGGATATACAGCATCATTTATGGGGGTTAAAGGGTGCTGGAATAACTGAAATATCTTTATTTTATGTGGCAGTCAGAAAGGGTGTTATTGAAAATTTAAAGGATTGGGCTAACTTAGAGGCATTGAAATAAAACCCATAGCTACATGCTAACAACATTTATAATGAAATTAAGACTTCAACTATTGACATATGCCTTAATAATGATCACGTTAAACTATACTTTAATTTAGTTTATTTTTTCGATCTACCCTAAATTTATTGAAATATTTAGGCATAATAATTGTATTATGAAAATAGCGAATTGAAAATTCGATTTGTATCTGAAATCTGCCTTGCTGCTGTTTCTATTTGCTCGCATAAATTTTCGGGCTTATCTTTTTTGTCGGCTGAGTCGAAAGCTTTAAAGTGCTGCCTTGGCATTGGGAAAGTCTCCCTTCTTATCCGCAATCTCCATTCATATTTTGCCAACTTTTCACTGCTTCCCCCCGCTCTTTTTTGGCCCATTTCATTTGCGCTCTTTGCCAGGGCCAAAACAAAGCAATTTCCTATCTATCAGATTGAACTATAAATTTTATAAAGTTGACTGCATATTCACGGCAATCGAAACGTAACGAATTTAAATGGCCAAACAACGAGGAGCGGAGCAACCGAAAGTCAAGAGGCCAAAAGGCCATCGAGGAGTATGGGGCAATCGAAATGAAGCCCGAAGCGATTTCGAAAACTCAATGGCTTGAATTTTATGAGTTTTGGCGCTCGTCGCCAGCTTCCAGTTCTCAAATCTCCGGACTCCCCGAGTCCGATTCCGCTTCCTACCCAATTTTTGGTTATTAGTTTTTCCACAGAAGGTTGTACAGGCTGATTCCCCTCTTTTTCCCTCGTCTGAACACTGAGGGAAAAGTCAGCACTGAAATTTGTAATATTGTTTTAAAGATATTGTGTACAATATATCTTCAAATGTATTCTTAAACATTTTTAAAAATTTTAATATGTGAATAAAATTGATATTATCAATATTATTAAATTTTATTTTCTTTTTCAAATAAATATTAATATTGTATTCTAAACTATAAATTTATTTTTAATATTTTGAAAAGTTCAGCAAATATTTATTTTCATTTTGCTTTGATATGCTAAAAAATTGCTACAAATGTATAATTCTTTATTTTATGTTATTGTTTTCGATTTTTTCTTAGTGGAGGTCTCCATTTTTCCCTTGCCTGGCCTTTTTTGCCTTGTTTGTTGTGTTTGCTCTTGTGGCCATGCCGCGACATTATCGACTCTCGGGGACTTAATGCCGCGAGCTCTTCATTTTGTGTGTGATATTTGGGGAACCCGGGTTCCCGAAGGGTGGCACGTGCCCGGGCAATAACCATAACCCGGTTCTGCTAGCGAGTCGCTTTCTATATTTTTTTCTCTGCCTTAAACAACGCTACTAATTATCGCCCAAAAAAAGTAAAAAAAAAACTAATTTCCTCGG